TGAAATTTTTTTAAAATCCAAATCCAACCATATTTAGTTCCTGGGGGGATGAAAGGAGGGTGTAATGCTTTAGTGGCTTTGTTTTCCAAACTAAAGGATTATTTATTATAGAGTTACAAAGTAACATTTAGTGAATTTTCAGAAGGTTTTTTTTTTGTGTGTGTGTGTGTAAGTATTCAGGAGAGATGAAATACTTACCTCGGCTAAAGTAATAAGAAGAGGATCGAAGGGAAGATTTTCAGGAGGACATTCCCACTGTAATCTGTGTTTCACTGAACCGTGCACCAATCTAAAACATGAAAGTCACTGAATACACCAAGATAATGTAATTCTGCATCCAACAGTGATTATCTAACACACATGTACACTCTATACCACACAGCCATATTAGAACTATTCTGTAACATGTAGCAATGCCACAAGGTTATAATGATGTTACAAGGCATCTTTAAAAACAATGCTTATAATCCTACAAAATCCTACTTTTTCTGCAACATTGTTTACTGGAAAAATCAAACAACCCCCATCTGCTAAGCCTACAGGGTTAGTGCTCAAACATGTTATAACTTGTGACTCATGATAGAAGGAATACACTAGAAATTTTCAGTTCATGGTCATTTTTTTAATGAAGAACTACTCTTTTTCAGATCTCTGTCATTTAACTCTAATGTGAATGATGTGAAGACAGGGCAGGCTGTATCTTTAAAGAGATGAGCAATGAAGGTAGGAAGGTGAATGACCCGCCCTCTCTGAATTTGGATTAGGGCCTCTGATGCTTCTTCTTAAGAACCCTTACTCAGTGTAAATGACATAAACTGCACCTATCTCAAGTGTAGATATGACTAGCTCTTGATATATGAACACACCCATAAAACCATCACTATAATCATGACAGTGAACCTATCCTTTACCCCCAAACATTTTTGTGTGACCCTGTGCACTGGCTTTCTTGGCTGTCTTTAATATTTTTTTCTTAATAGCAAGAAGCCTCAGTGGTCTTTGCTCTTTTACAAAAATTAATTGGTGAAAGAGGACCTTAAAATAAGACCAATTATGGTAACTAAATATGAAAATCATGCAATACACTGAAAAAGAAAGATTTTGAACTTATTTTTTCTCAGGCCTCCAAATCTGAAAATATCATTGAAAGCTACATGTCTTGAATTTTGTAATAAAAAAAGGAAGTCCTAATGATTCTCTTCACAATGAAATTCTCTATCATCTAGAACAGGCAAAAACTGGATGCACTTTAATGCTGCCTGGTAGTAACATCTTTAGTTGACATCAAACTATTATTAGTAACTACGGTGTTTACTTTAAAATATTTCTGATTTCTCTCCAGAATGGTGGTAAGGATTATAGCCCTAAGGAAGCCAAAAGAGCCATATATATTCATTAAGAAAACTAAATAATTCCACTCCATTACAAGTTATCAATTTTACTAACTAAAAAGGATTATGTATTTGCAACTTGAATAAGCCCCAGTTTGCTAAAACTGGTTATTTTAGAAAGCCGTTAGTTCAATTTTTTTTAATTATTTGGTGGTTTACTATAGATCTACCAGTAATTATATTTTTTAAGTAAATGGCTTTCTTCAACAATGTCCAGTGACGTATGCCAATCTATGAGTTATTAAGTCACTTTTATGTCAACCTCACTAGTAAATAAAGCTCAACATACTCAAACTGGACAGTGTATTAATTTTACTCAATTATCTGAATAATACAGTCAGTTAGAACTTGTACTGATTTTACCTGCAAGGAATACCGCCCTTAGAATAAATAGCTGCGAAAGCAGACGGCGCTCGTGGCTGATCCCCAAACTGAAATGAAAATGACAAAAATACATTAAATATTACCATCACCCCCACTTTCTATTGTCTCATCAGTTATTCTGGCTCAGGTCAGAACAGCCCTGACTTTCAAGTCATGATGCTGGTATCAGTCTCTCACTCCCTAGCAGAGGATCTGAGACGCTGTCAATGCTTCCAGCACCATTAGTACCTGTCGTGCTTAAGTTTGTGTGTCATCTTGGCTTGGCCTGGTTGAGTGGCTGAGCAGCTGGATGTAGTATTCCCCATGATGACACTGCTAATCAACTCCATGGTGGAATCTACTGTGAGCAGCTGAGTAGCTGCTTTGGGTATGTGGTCTGCTTCCAGTATATAAGCAGCAGCTTTGGACTGGTCTCTAGCTTATGGCATGCTTGAACCCTGCATGTAGCCATGTTGTCGTTCAGCAGTCTGCCATGCTCTGGTGACCTTGGGTCTTTCAGTAGACTTAAATTAATGGCCTGTCATGTTGTTTGGTAACACTGGGACTGTGCCATTTTATTTGTCGACCTTGGGGTTGTTAGCCACAGCAGCCAGTAGCTGCCTGAGTGAAGAGATGCATCCAGCTTCAGCGGGCTGGGAGCTGGAGGCACAGCTGAAGCCCAAGGTTGAGGGGCTTTCAGCCAGCACCTAGAGCCTGGCACTTTGAACTCACAGACTTCTAGCCTCCTGAACTGTAAGAGAATAAACTCCTGTTTGTTCAAGCCATCCCAGTTGTGGTATATTCTTGTCAGAGTGGCACTAGGTAACCAAAACAGTACCACACCTGTACTCTGTCCACTTTCTGCCACCCCTACAGTACAGAAGGGACTGAAGGGAGCTGAAACTGTGTACAAACTGATGTATTTTCTCACCTCCACCCAGCATGTATTGCAGTTGTAGGCTAAATGATAAGTTCAAAGAGAGTCTGTTGGCAGTCACCAATGCACACCTGCTTTCCTAGTTCTCCAGCCAAATACAGACGGTCAGAGAATCTCTAACTTCTCCAAAATGGCCACAAAGGGCCAGGCTGGACGGGGTGGCAGACCTGATGAAGCAAGACTCTTGCAAGATTCTTGCCTGGTTGTGTCTGATCACACCGTAACTTCACAATCTTTCTTTTGTTATATCATCATTATCCTAAAGATTTGGGCACAAATATAAGTATTTCACCTATAGCATTTTCAACACAGTCTGGTTAAGCATAATTGTATAAACTATATAATATAAATTAACTAGCCTATTTTAAAGATAGAAGTAGGTAAGGCTTTTTTGTTGTTGTTTTTAAATCAAATCAAGTGGTTACTATTTACCCAAGAATATAAATGTAGAATTTGGCTTTCTTCCTCTGGAACACATTCACATAGGTGAAATCTCATTTAAAAAAAAAATTAGGATAACGGGAGACTGAGCAATAGTAATGTTTCATTTATCTAATTATATAATTCCTGCTACAAAGAAATACATGTCTGTAAAACTGTTGTCATGTATTAACCATACCAAATAACAAAATGACTTGAAAAAGCATTGTTCATATTGGGAGAAAAAAAAATAAACATGTATCAGTGCTGCCCATAAACACTTTAGTTCTACCACCTACTAGGGAGAGTGTATTCCTTGCCCTGCCAGACCAACAAGAATCCCTCAACTTCAAAAACATGTACCACAACAAAATTTCTGAGTAAAATTCTAAGCAATTAGTTTCCTTTCTAATTTGCTATAGATGTGAGCATAGTTTCATCTTTCATATCCCACAGATTCAGAATATTTTTTTTTCTTTGCCAATGGATTAATTTGATCAAAATTTCATTACTATGAACATATCTGTTGTCCCATTCAATGTTGAACAATATGGTCACAAACCATACTTCAATTCTGAAGCAATGTTAAGCACATACACTACTACACTGAACTTGCTGCTTAGAAACAAAATCTTCATGACTGATGTGAAATTTATGTACACATTGGTGGGGAAGGGAACTGTTACCAGTGCACCAATTGTTGTCGTGTACCATGCTTTCAATTACAACTCAC